CCTCAATTTTGCACTCTTCGTCAACCTTGGCATCATTAATAATATTTTGGTCGAATAGTTGAAGTTCCTCTTTCCGCTCCACAAGCTGGCCAGTATCCACAAAAATTGGTTGTAGGGCATCAGACGCCTTAACCTTTTTATTCAATTGAGCCTGCAAGTCATGGATATCAGAGCCAAATTGGTCTATCTCTTGCCTGAGCTCAATTCTTCCTTCTATTAGTTGTTCTGTCATATTTGAAAGACCATCACGTAGAAACTCATGAGATTTTATCAGTTGAGCTTGTTCCTCTAGCCAACATTGGCTCACTATATCTGCTTCTTCAAAATTATTTTCTGGTGGGAACTCACTCTCTTCAGCCACTTCCTCCGCCTCGGCCTTCATTCTCATGATTGATGCACTAATTCTTTGTATATCCTTTCGATTTTCATCTTGTTGCTCGGCTATTTGCCTCATAATATCCCTAATATATGCATCACGTTCCATATCCTGCACTTCATTGCCCCTATCAAACTCACAAACACTGTTAGAAAGATCATAAAAAGGACTCAGAAAAGGATGAAAAGAATTAGGACAACCATCACAATGGCCACCTTGACCACCACACATATTACAAATATTCCACCCATAAGATTGAGAATCACAATTTTGCCACAAGTGTGGTCCTCCACAATATGAACATGGATCACCAAAATAAGAATAACCAATATTCGACCAATTATCATTCCAAGATTCCATATCAACAAAGATAATACGTATTAAACTAAGATAAAAATTTAAAAACTTGAATAGAAAAAGAGTAAAAATCTAATCTAGTAGGCTAGTTAATTTCTAAGTCCCCGGCAATGGCGCCAAAAACTTGTTGCTCCCAAACGCACACGCAAGTATACGTGGTCGACAAGTAATATAGGATTGTAAGTCCAGATATCTTACCCACAGGGACTTGTGATTAACTATCAACTAAATTAAACCAAACAATTAATCTATTCAAGCGTATTCTAAAGTATGAATATTTAACTAAAATTAATCTAGAGTAACAAATTAAGAGATTAAAGAAAATAAGTTGGCGAATTATGGAGACGAATTCAATGTGAGTAAATATTCTAGAGCTATGGGTTAGCTAACAACCCCGTTGAGTTTTTCACTTAAATCGTCTAATTAATTTATCTGATTTATTGGTTGACAGGGTTAATATTGCTCGTAGCCTTCTCCCGAAGTACAACTCGCCTATTCAAGCTAACCTAACGCTTATATTCCTATGGAATTAGGATTAACAAGAACGCATTTATAATTTCTGTATATTAACCAAGCAAGGCGATTAGGTATATTCCTATCCTAATCGCAAATCCCCCCCCCCCTCCCCCCAGAGTTAAGATCTTGCTCTACTCAATCTTATATGCAATCTAGAATTCCCTCTCCCGATTTCAATCCTAGAGTCGTAGATAGTATTCAATTAGTGATCAAGCAATCAAATAATTAAGCGCAAGATTAAATAAATAAACCAATATGATAAGATAATAAGAACAATGCAAGCTTCAAACTACAACGTTCATGTAGCACCCCAAAAATCTAGAACTAATGAACTATGAAATTAAAGGAAGAGAGGAGAAGAAAAACTAGTTAGAAGCCTCATCCAAGCGTGGTGTGTGTTCCTCCCCTTGAATTCTCCTTCAAAGTATGTTAGATTCAGTCCAAATCAGGTTTAGGACTCCTTTTATACGAGTTGGGGGCGTCTTGGGCCGAAATAACCTTATCCCAGACGAAATAGGAAAAACCCCGTCACACAGCGTCCAGGGTAGCGCCTAGCGCTAACCCTGGCGCTGAAACCAGTAAGTTTTACGTTCCTTGCTTGGCTGCGTCACTTTCATCCATATATTGCATTCTAAATGCAATTCAATTATATATCCCTTTTTCTTGTCTTCCACTTGGGGGGACAAAATCCAAAGAGTGTCCCTTTTTTTAATTCTTTTTTTTTCCTTCCGCGTTTTATTCAATTTTGCTCCAAATCCCTTCATCTTCACACCGTTTTTTTTACACAGTTAAAATATAATATTAAGCACAAAGTACTATAATTGATACTCAAAAGACGATTAAAAGGTGCCATAATGTGAGGCAATAATGGTTAAATATATGCATTTTTTACCGAACATCAAGCAACCTCAACCTTAATCCGGAAAAAACAAAGCCCCATGACCACCATAACAAGCTCCCACAATTTTCTTTCAGTTGCTTTTTTTCTCTTCTGTAGAAGAGAAAGAGTTTCGACATGCTTGCTTATGGGTAATTTAAGTTTTGTTTGAGGGCATATTAGACTTTTGAGCTTATCTGTATACGTGGCTTTTCTATATCTACCCAACTACTACGTGTAGCGTTTACCTTATTACAGAGGTGCGTTTTATTCAATTTGTGTACATCACAATTTACAGAGCTTCAGATATCTTCGTCTTCCTCATCTCTTCTACTTGTGCAGGTGCTTTTCTTATTACTTAATATGAATTTTATTGTTTTCTATCTCTTTCTCCTTCTTTTTTGTTTCAAATTCGTTAGAACAGAGTGAATTAATTACAGATTTTCGAGTTAGGGTTTGACGGATGAACAAATTCTATTTGTTAAACTATAGAAATCAGTTGATTTTTTGTGTCTGCAAAGTACAAGAACGGATATCTCTTCCCAATTTTCTTCTCCTTTTTTATTCATTTTTTTCCCTTTTCATGTGTTTGTTGGGTTCGTTCCATGCTTCTCAATTTCATAGCCAGTGGCCTGGTGTCAAATTCTACTAATGAATATTTGCATCTTGTGATGCATAAAAAATTAGTTAATTTGTATCATAAGTTTGAATCGGTGGTCTTATGTTTTATAAAATGAGTATTCTTTATTAATTACTGCTTCAAGTCTATTTATTTTGTTACCATCTGTTGTATTTGATATTCTTTGATGCTATGTAGCTACTGGTCAAATTAGACTATGATGCTATGTCGTGTTTTTCTATGAACTGATGAAACTTTAAATAGACTATTATATAGTTATTAGTTTATTTCTAATGACTTTCAAGGTTCCATTCCCTTCTTGCTTGGAATGATTGGAAGGGGAAGGAAAACTAAATTCAAAGGCAAATATTAATATAAATTTTACCTTTGAAGTAGTTCAGTTCATGTTAAAATTCATTAAGTGGGTAGTATAGTCAATTGAGCTTTAAGTAATCTATGAAATTCAAGCTTCCTATTTAGCCAATCTTGAAACTGAAAAGCTGTGAAAGGCAGCACAAGAGTCGCTAGAGCGAAAAATTGTGCGACTTCATTTGAAAGAAAAGAGAAAACAAAGCTTGTAGCAGCAGTCACCTATCCCAACTCCTACATCTTAAAATCTATTGCTATTCCTAGAGAAGAAATGAGGAAACAAAACTTCGTCCGTTTAGTAAGTGATGCGAAGAGTTGGTCAGTTCGTTATGGATTGGAATATTAGATCTCTTGTTGTTATTAGCCAAGAGAAAAATCTAAAGCTGCTCAACTTTCCAAAGTAAAAGAATGAATCTAAATATGTTAACATTATACACTGATAAAAGTTACTCCTATTATCTATTTAAGTTGAGTTTTAGAGTTTGATCAGTGCAAAACATAAAGAAGACGAAGAAAGATTCAAAGAAGTTTAATAAAATCAAACACAAAAACAAGAAAAACAAATCCATTAACATTGTTCCTGTTGAGAACAAAGGAAGTAGTGAATGCGATTGGTGGGATAGTTTCTGGCACAAGAACTCACCAACCCCGTGTCCCTTTACTTTTCTCTGCTTTTCCCCAGCTGTAAATTTTTGTTCTTTTATCATATTGTAGCTGAAATCTACAAATTGACTTGTATTTTGAAACCCATTTAGCTTCAAATACTGTTGAAAAATTCACTATAGATATGTAAGACTGGATGTTAGCAAGTGTCAAGCTTGGAGCTTTAAGCCTAATTCCTTCAAATTTGGTGCATTTTTTTACCCTTCTATGTGAAATTCACAAAGCATAACAGGTTCAGACCTGGAAGAGGGTTGCTNTTCCACCATTGACAGCCATTAAAAAGCTTTGAATTCGAATTTGGGTTTTCAAAAAATATTATTTGTTTGAATTGGGTGTTGTTGCAAATAATTGGGAATTCTCTCTACGTCTCTCTATCTCTCAATCCCTAATTCCAGTAATGTAAAGCAAAGAAAAAGAGAGCAGCAATTCCACCATTGACAGCCATTAAAAAGCTTTGAAGCTTTGAATTCGAATTTGGGTTTTCAAAAAACATTATTTATTTGGATTGGGCGTTTGTTGCAAACAATTGAAAATATGGTTTGGAGTTTGTATTTCTATTTTGAGGGTGTTTTGGTGAAGATTAGACTTGATTTTGGCTGAATTTCAGATTGAAACTCGAAAAAGAAGAAGAAGAAGACATGACACACATTATATTTATGAAATTATAGTAAATTTGTAGAAAAATTGTATTCTGTTTTATATATATATATATATAACTGGATAGAAATAATGTATGAAAATTGTAGATAAGTTTTATAATATATATTAGTTGTATATATATGTGGATTGTATATATTTTGTAACTAAAATGTGTTTAGGTCGAGTAAATGCCAAAACATGGACATTTTTCGTAATAAGGTTTCAAATAGTGTATATGTATGTAAATATCTCTTTACATATTGGGTCCACAAAATTATGGGACCACAAAGTTGTGAGACGAAAAAAGGCCTCACACAACTAATGTCAGTTGTGTGAGGTACAAAATAAAAAATTTCATGATTTATATAGCTAATTATATTTATATTTATATTTATAATATGTAGTAATAATTGAATTCACGGTCTCTTCTTTAGAAGAGAAAGTTTTTCGACATGTCTGCTTGGATCTCTTTTTAAAGAGGTTTGAGGGCATTTGAGTCATTTCTTATTAGCTACATACGTGCCCTTTTGTGCTCTCCCCAGATATACGTGTGCATTTTTGGCTATTAGCACATGTATCCTTTCTTCTCTTTCAATGAATGTATTCCTTAGCAAAGCAGGCACAAGAAAAAGCATCAGAGAAGCGATCCATCACAAGATCAGTTCGAAATCGGGTAAAAATTTCTTTTTGAATTTGACTTTTGAGCTTATCTGTATACATGGCTTTTCTATATCTACCCAACTACTACATGTAGTGTTTACCTTATTACAGAGGTGGGTTTTATTCGATTTGTGTACATCACAATTTACAGAGCTTCAGATATCTTCGTCTTCCTCATCTCTTCAACTTGTGCAGGTGCTTTTCTTATTACTTAATATGAATTTTATTGTTTTCGATCTCTTTCTCCTTCTTTTTTGTTTCAAATTCGTTAGAACAGAGTGAATTAATTACAGATTTTCGAGTTAGGGTTTGACGGATGAACAAATTCTGTTTGTTAAACTATAGAAATCAGTTGATTTTTTGTGTCTGCAAAGTACAAGAATGGATATCTCTTCCCAATTTTCTTCTCCTTTTTTATTCATTTTTTTCCCTTTTCATGTGTTTGTTGGGTTCGTTCCATTCTTCTCAATTTCATAGCCAGTGGCCTGGTGTCAAACTCTACTAATGAATATTTGCATCTTGCGATGCATAAAAAATTAGTTAATTTGTATCATAAGTTTGAATCGGTGGTCTTATGTTTTATAAAATGAGTATTCTTTATTAATTACTTCTTCAAGTCTATTTATTTTGTTACCATCTGTTGTATTTGATGTTCTTTGATGCTATGTAGCTACTGGTCAAATTAGACTACGATGCTACGTCGTGTTTTTCTATGAACTGATGACACTTTAAATAGACTATTATATAGTCATTGGTTTATTTCTAATGACTTTCAAGGTTACATTCCCTTCTTGCTTGGAATGATTGGAAGGGGAAGGAAAACTAAATTCAAAGGCAAATATTAATATAAATTTTACCTTTGAAGTAGTTCAGTTCAAGTTAAAATTCATTAAGTGGGTAGTATAGTCAATTGAGCTTTAAGTAATCTATGAAATTCAAGCTTCCTATTTAGCCAATCTTCAAACTGAAAAGCTGTGAAAGGCAGCACAAGAGTCGCTAGAGCGAAAAATTGTCCAACTTCAATTGAAAGAAAAGAGAAAACAAAGCCTGTAGCAGCAGTCAACTATCCCAACTTCTGCATCTTAAAATCTATTGCTATTCCTAGAGAAGAAATGAGGAAAGAAAACTTCGTCCGTTTGGTAAGTGATGCGAAGAGTTGGTCAGTTCGTTATGGATTGGAATATTAGATCTCTTATTGTTATTAGCCAAGAGAAAAATCTAAAGCTGCTCAACTTTCCAAAGTAAAAGAATGAATCTAAATATGTTAACATTATACACTGATAAAAGTTACTCCTATTATCTATTTAAGTTGTGTTTAGAGTTTGACCAGTGCAAAACATAAAGAAGACGAAGAAAGATTCAAAGAAGTTTAAGAAAATCAAACACAAAAAACAAGAAAAACAAATCCATTAACATTGTTCCCGTTGAGAACAAAGGAAGTAGTGAATGCGATTGGTGGGATAGTTTCTGGCACAAGAACTCACCAACCCCAGGTCCCTTTACTTTTCTCTGCTTTTACCCAGCTGTAAATTTTTGTTCTTTTATCATATTGTAGCTGAAATCTGCAAATTGACTTGTATTTTGAAACCCATTTAGCTTCAAATACTGTTGAAAAATTCACTATAGGTATGTAAGACTGGATGTTAGTAAGTGTCAAGCTTGGAGCTTTAAGCCTAATTCCTTCAAATTTGGTGCATTTTTTTAACCCCTTCTCTGTGAAATTCACAAAGCATAAACAGGTCCAGACCTGGAAGAGGGTTGATGTAGGGTGAAGGGTAATGTACAATTCCCAAAAAGAAAAAAAGAAAAACAAGGTGATTCCCATGTGCCTAAGCCTTGGGGCAGAGTTAGCCGGTACTTTTGCTGGTGGGTGTTAGCAGGTACCCGGTGGAATAGTCGATCTCGCCCAAGCTAGGCCGGAGAGTAGTATGTAAAATAGAATGATGATTCATATAGTCGAGTCCAATTAGTTTGAAACTAAGATGTACTTGATTGATTTACTGCATTTTATCTCTGGATAAAAACATGTTTACTCATTTAAGACTCTGTGCTGGAAATGGACTCTTCTGCTTGGAGCTTTAGCCACAATTGCACCAAAGTACCAATTTTTAAAGCATTCTTTTTACTCACAGCATTCTAATATGTAGTCAACACATAACTTGAACTTGTTTTTTCATTACTTTTGTTCATATTCCACTTTCTCAAATTAATATCACATGTTTTAAGAGAAGGTTCAATCAACTTCACTTTCATCTCAGACACATTATTCCCATTCCGAGTGTTCAAATATGCATCTTCTTCTGGTTTAAGAAAGTCATTACTCATTTGCCTTTGTAGTATAAACAATGGAATTAAGAACTTGTAGAGCAATTGTTGATGGGGTTTTGTTAAAATTGGTGGCAGTAAAGAGGGGTTGCTTCATTTCCTGAGTCAAAGCAAATGTTGTACTAATTTACAGAAGCTTGATTTAAGATTGCTTTTTGATGTTGATAATAGTCATTTGATAGGTGCTGCTGAAAATTTAAGGAGTTTGAGGAGTTTAAGATTATAATTAGAGTGGAATTACTTAAGCATGAATGATTTTGTTTTTGTTTAAATTATTTCTCAGGAAACTTCAGAGCTAATATTAGTTTTTGTTATCTATTTCTATCTCATTATTAGAATGGAAAAGCTTTCCCTTTTGATTGTAATTCTGTGTGCTTCTAGCTATGTCATTCATCACATATATATTGAATGAATTGTTTTTGGTTTCAAAGTTATGCTTTCTGAATGCTCCTCTGCTCAACAAATATCACGACAACACAAGGTTAGCTTACTTGATTACAAATCTAGACTCCAATCGCTTTTTTTAAACTTTAACTAAATATTCATTTTGTTATATTATCTGTAATAGTAAACTACTGAAAATATTACTAAAATATTGAGATATAAAATTATACTATAATAATGTAGAATATATAATAGTTCTATCATTTTTTTATTTCTCTTCATTCTTATTTTGCCTCTTCTCTTGTGTCTAAGATTCTGATGCAAATATTAATGTTAGTCAAAATTTTATCGATCATGGTCATTGTTGATTCAATATTTGTAATTATCACCCTTCATTTACATGGATGTTGAACAAGAAAATGTAGGAGTATGAACATTAGTTGCATTTAAATATGTTGGTTGATTGGTATATGGTTTTCTGTTACACTTATGTAAGTGGACTCTTCTATGGAGAAGTTGTTAATATTGAAAATGAGAAACACCCATCATTCTTCTGGATATCATAACATGAAATTTTCTCTCCATTCTTCTTTAAAAGCAGTAGAAAATAACTTTTGTCATATGAATTTGTGTCTTTTTACATTAAAATATATAAGAGTAAAAGGTGGAAGATAAACCAGATATTTGCTTGTAAGTTCGTTGCTCCACAACCATCTTTAAATTGAGTAACTTTGATTAGTATGATAATCCATTGATAGAGAACACTGATCTTGAAATTAAATTAAAATATTACCATCTCATTTGTGGTGTAGACTACTTTAACTCCAACAATTTAGGCTTAGAAGTGCTGCAATTTTTTATGCAGCGATAAGATAGATGATCATAATATTTGAATATAGGTCATTATTAGAATGAAACAATTGTGTCTTTTTTGAGTTTACTATGCTATAAAATCTTTTTAGATTGTCTTTAGATATCAGCCAAGGAGGTAGGTGGTTATGCAGAGTGATTAAAGGACTAGCAGTGAATGATATATAAAAATAGTGTTAAATGAGAATTGATTTGGTCTTTTAGACATATTGCCTCAATAGTGTAGAAAAATAGATAAATTAACATGAATGCACTTATAAGAATTTAGAAGCTCAGATTAATCAGAATGAACTTAGCAGCTCATAAAATATTAGCACAAAAAGGAAGGGTTTGTGTTGCATATCTCCCTCAAATACAGTTTTGCGGTTCTTCTTTACTTCACACGGGTGGTTTGTTTTTGCAGAGAAACAGAAAATGTTTTCAAGGTAGTAGAACATCGATTTGATCTTTCCTTGATTTTTTCCCCGTACTTTGGTGCAAAGAAGGCAAAAAAAAAAAGCAAATAGTATGGATCAGATGCTAGATTTCATTAGCTTTATCAATAGCTATAACCATACTGTGCTTTTATTATACTGGTCTATGTTGGAATGGAGGGTAGAACTAATCATACATTTTATGATGCGCTTCATATCATAATAAATAGTGATGAGATAACGGGAGTAAGATTTAATAGCCTGTTATATGATGATGTAATTTATGTAACAGAATATACAAAGCAGATAAAACTACAGTAAATACTACTGGATAGGTTCTTTAAATTGGTACCACAAAACTACATTCTCTGTATAACTGAATCTGGAAATGATAGGATGAGCTGGCCGGATCCTTTATTCTTTTTTCTGCATAAGAATACATCTGCAATTAACATATGGAGCTATTTGACCAATGAAGGAGATTTATAGTACTATCAATACAGAAAGAGGGAAAAAGAAGAAAAAGTGGCACTTGTGCCATATTAGACATGTCGTGAACTGGGTAAATTGTACCATTGCAACTGGGACAAACCCACAGGCAATATATCTTTGTGGCTTCTTTTTATTATACACTTCATGGCTGCATTATACATAGTTTTGCCTAGATATTCTCTGTATTGCAGCAAGCCATAAAATATTGATTGTTGTCTGCTTGCTGAAACATATATTTTTGTATTAGCATGTGTGATATTTCTTTTGGTATTCTCAACTCTCAGATATGTTGCAGACAGGTTGATTCTGAAAAAGAATAGGAGGATTATAGTGTAGACATTTCAGCACTGTTGTTCTTCAATAATTTATCAGCTCAATGAGTTTTTAGAATTCACGTAAAAGTTGAGCTGTATGTGTTTTTTTATATCAGAATTCAGATGTCCCCAAAGGGACGAGCTATATGTACCGATCCAAAAAAAAAGTTGAACAATGTATTTATCTGAATTTATTTCGTGATAGAAAGCATCAGCTGCAGGGTTATAAATAAATTACTAGATTACTCGTGGAATTTAATTTGAGTTTCATCCTTTTTCTATTCTCCAATCTCATAGCATATGGTATGTGTTCAGTACTTAATTGTCTCACCTCGACGTTCTATGAAGTTGTAATGTTCCTGCTTTGTTTAACAAGACCACAACTGGCTGACATATTCTTTTGTTGCTCCAGGAGTTCCACTACAAGTTTTGCTAATTTAGTTATTGAGATGTTTTGCCATAACCTTCTAATTTACAACATATTTATTTGTTTGCAGATATTATTGGTGAAGAAAAAGGACCAGAAAGAATATACATGTTGTAACTGCTGTGGCACTTTAAGCATCCCTTAATGTGATGCTCTCGTGAATGCAAACAATGTATATTTTGTTCAGAATGTATGTAAATTAAGTGTGTATCACTTAGTATGAAATATTTTGTCAGAGCAGGCCCATGCTCTATACGATATCTTAATTCTAATAGATTATTCACCAAATGAAAGAATTAGAGCTATTGCAAAGGTAAAAATGAAGTAAAAAACTCACATCTGCCAGATTCTTCATCCTCTGTGTAGGATCAAAAATTGTCTGACAAAAGCACCCAAATCCAGAAAACTCTATGATAGACATAATATTATATTTAGAATTAAATAACACGCAAAGTTAAATTTTTAATCCATACTTACACCATTAATTTATATTATATTTATAATTAGATAACCCGCAGAGTTAAATCACGCACAGGCCATATAATAATTGAGTTCACATTTAAATTTATGAATAGTTTTGTGAATTTTGTAATACATATATAGAAGGAGGAAAAAATGGTACTAATTCATCAATTGAGGTGTTTTTAAGAGAACTAAGAAGGATTATAATCCTGAAATTATAGTCATGATTATAATTGGGATAAATAATCTCACCTTCTATATTTATAAATATAATGTTGAAATAAATTTTATCTTTATTTTAGCTAACGCTTGTAATCAATTATCGCACAAATTTAAACTCAAATTTTATACCGGAATAACCAAATAACACTTTCAGCATTACTTCTTTTTCATTTCCTCCGATGGTTAACGATTGATTAGGGACCTCCCTAATCCATGTAATCAAATGGCATTTTCAATGATTACTTCATTATCACTCCCTTCAAGTGTTAATTATCAAACTTGTAGATTGCAAGCCTTTCTCTTTCTCGTTTCCCCCTGTACTTTCTTCTTCTTCTTTTTTAACTTTTTGATTTTTATTGGGTTCCCATGTGTGTTACATATGTATACCGAGTTGTGTAGTCAATGAATATATAATTACTAAATTATTATGCTTGAAAAAATAAAGTACAAATTTAATAAATGACTAATGCGAATCATCGTATGATGACATATTTCTCAAAGTCAAGATGATTAGATATTCTCTAAACCTACAAAGAAGAATAATCAAATACATGCATGTGATTTTTTTCTCTATTTTTTTAAACTTNTTTCTCCTATCCCCTACCCCATATCTATTCTCTCTCTCTCTCTCTCTCTCTCTCTCTCTCTCTCTCTCTCTCTCTCATCTTCCACCTTCATCTTACTACCAGAACTCTTCGGTATGAAGGTGAATCAATCGTACCGTCCGTCTGCACTTGAATATGTCCTTCCTCACATATTTTCTCCACCGAATGAAATGGTCTACGTAATGACCTGTTTTNNAATTGCTTAACTCATATTTAAGACTTGTGCCGGGCGTCGGAACCAAAATACGAGCCCAACAGCACAGTCTTCTAAACAAATAACACTTTCCAATTCTTTAATTACTTTCAGAAAATAATTTCACGTAAAAATTCATTCCTCGGACTCGGAACCTCGGAATTTGATTCCGGGCACACCCCCAAGTCTCATATTTTTCTACGGACCCTCCGGGACTGTCGAATCACGAGTCCGGGTCCGTTTGCCCAAAACGTTGACCGAAGTCAAACTTAATCAATTAAAACATCAAAATTTTATTATCTTTCTCACAAATTCATATATAAACGTTCCGGCTACGCGCCCGGACTGCGCACACAAATTCGAGGCAACCCCCAAGTGAGGTTTTCACGGCCTCAGAAATACAGAGTGAGTAGGAATACAGGTGATGACCCTTTGGGCCGTCACAAATTTAGAAGCTCAGATTAATCAGAATGAACTTAGCAGCTCATAAAATATTAGCACAAAAGGAAGGGTGTGTGTTGCATATCTCCCTCAAATACAGTTTTGTGGTTCTTCTTTACTTCACACGGGTGGTTTGTTTTTGCAGAGAAACACAAAATATTTTCAAGGTAGTAGAACATCGATTTGATCTTTCCTTGATTTTTTCCCCGTACTTTGGTTCAAAGAAGGCAAAAAAAAAGAGTAAATAGTATGGATCAGATGCTAGATTTCATTAGCTTTATCAATAGCTATAACCAAACTGTGCTTTTATTATACTGGTCTATGTTGGAATGGAGGGTAGAACTAATCATACATTTTATGATGCGCTTCATATCATAATGAATAATGACGAGATAACGGGAGTAAGATTTAATAGCCTGTTATATGATGATGTAATTTATGTAACAGAATATACAAAGCAGATAAAACTACAGTAAATACTATTGGATAGGTTCTTTAAATTGGTACCACAAAACTACATTCTCTGTATAACTGAATCTGGAAATGATAGGATGAGCTGGCTCCTTTATTCTTTTTTCTGCATAAAAATACATTTGCAATTAACACATGGAGCTATTTGACTTATGAAGGAGATTTATAGTACTATCAATACAGAAAGAGGGAAAAAGAAGAAAAAATGGCACTTGTGCCATATTAGACATGTCGTGAACTGGGTAAATCGTACCATTGCAACTGGGACAAATCCACAGGCAATATATCTTTGTGACTTCTTTTTATTATACACTTCATGGTTGCATTATACATAGTTTTGCCTAGATATTCTCTGTATTGCAGCAAGCCATAAAATTCATTGTTGTCTGCTTGCTGAAACATATATTTTTGTATTAGCATGTGTGATCTTTCTTTTGGTATTCTCAACTCTCAGATATCTTGCAGACAGGTTGATTCAGAAAAAGAATGGGGGGGGATTATAGTGTAGACATTTCAGCACTGTTGTTCTTCAATAATTTATTTAGCTCAATGAGTTTTTAGAATTCACTTAAAAGTTGAGCTATATGTGTTTTTTTATATCAGAATTCAGATGTCCCCAAAGGGACGAGCTATATGTACCGATCCAAAAAAAAGTTGAACAATGTATTTATCTGAATTTATTTCGTGATAGAAAGCATCAGCTGCAGGGTTATAAATAAATTACTAGATTGCTTGTGGAATTTAATTTGAGTTTCATCCTTTTTCTATTCTCCAATCTTATAGCATATGGTATGTGTTCAGTACTTAATTGTCTCACCTCAACGTTCTATGAAGTTGTAATGTTCCTGCTTTGTTTAACAAGACCACAACTGGCTGACATATTCTTTTGTTGCTCCAATTTTTGTGTCTTTTTTCTGTCTTCTTCATTTCTTAGGAGTTCCACTACAAGTTTTGCTAATTTAGTTATTGAGATGTTTTGCAATAACCTTCTAATTAACAACATATTTATTTGTTTGCAGATATTTTTGGTGAAGAAAAAGGACCAGAAAGAAGACCAAAAACCGCATATGTAAATAGTTGTATTATACATGTTAATAGTTGTATTATACATGTTGTAACATGTTGTAACTATTAGTGATGCTCTCGTGAACGCAAACAATGTATATTTTATTCAGAATGTATGTAAATTAAGTGTGTATCACTTAGTATGAAATATTTTGTCAGAGCAAGCCCATGCTCTCAACGACATCTTAATTCTAATAGATTATTCACCAAATGAAAGAATTAGAGGTATTGCAAAGGTAAAAATGAAGTAAAAACTCACATCTGCCAGATTCTTCATCCTCTGTGTAGGATCAAAAATGCTTCTGACAAAAGCACCCAAATCCAGAAAACTCTATGATAGACATAAAAGTAACTACAACCACTCGTTTCATACAAGT